GGACAACATCTGAATCCAGATGCTACCACATGTCATAAACTAACTAATTTATTCATAATGCTATGGCCAACTAGTGCCGCAGATACAATGTTCAAACATCATAATTCCCTGGTGCATGTTAACTAGTATCCAATCTTCATGGTGTTTGTCAAAACTTATTTAAGAAGACAAACTTTTTTCACGATTGAAGCATAGATTAGTTTCGAATCTTTTATTAATCTGAACATTTTATCAACATCACAACACTTAACAGTTTACATGTCGCCAGATCCGAAGAAACTGTAAACTTCCATAGGTTTGTAAACCTTAAGTATGTCGACTGTATATGCACCAAGCGTTTTGATAATGTATCGATAGATGTCTCCAAACTCAATATTTGATCGTTTAAAAAACATACTGTTTCCATTCGTTTCCTCGTATGGTATATTGATCAAGAAAGTTATACGACTTGCTAGGAAGATGAACCTTGATTCGTTACACATATCGTCTGCTAAATTCAATTCTTTAATGTGTGAAGAATACTATCCTCGATCCATCTTACCATTTTCTTAATACTGCGATATCGCGCGTTTGATCTTTACTCTATAGTATACTGTTCATGCTCATTGTAAAGACATTGTTTACTAACATCGCTAAGGTGTATTTGCTCAACTGTCGCATACTTCAAGCAGCTGAAGAATATAATGAGTATTCATGCTATTTCAAAAAGAGACATACTGGTCAAGTTCCGCATTTGTCTGTTGAAACAGGTGCCTGGAAACCGTTGTCTTCGTATATTAGATGGAACATGGAAAGCATGCAGAAAAGAGTAGTGATATTTTGAACATGAAACGATTATAACAGAGCTCTTTGCAATGGAAATTACGAGGCAGGGACATTGTTAATATGCACGATTGTTAGATAGATCATAAATGTATGTGTTGAAGGGGACTGTAACGACTTGGTGAGAGTCCAAATTCATATTATTATGACGTAATCAACCTTTGATATACTTCTAACTATAGCTTCCATAAAATATTTTGATCACGACAATAACATAACGTTTTTTCATCTTGAGAATAAATAAATAGTAACTTAATCTAATAAATATTCTTTTTTTCTTTGATATCATCATTTTTCTCTAATTTCGCTTCGAACCAACCCACATCTACTTTGTTCTAATGTCTGACAAGACTTTGTTAAAGAACTATGCCTTATTATACGTACAGCATTTCCTTAAATGTGAAGATCTCTTTACATTTCAAGACCAGATAGTGTTGCTGTTAAAGTGGTCTCTAAAATATGGTTTTATAAATCTGTATTTTCGACACTGTTCATTAAAGCGACTTTCATTTTGGCATTTGAATGACTTTGAATTTTAGTACTTTTTTCTGTTGAATGAATCAATTAATTAAATAAAAGTGGAGTCTCAGCTGTGGGCATATTTTTGATAGAATATGAATTAAACTTTTTGTGATGAAGTATAAATTCTATTAATTTGTCTTTAGCAAATTATCTTAAGCTGTGTTAAGATATAATAAACGAAGTAACTTTAAAACTTCTTGTTTGTTTGAATTTCGCACAAATCTACACGAGGGCTATCTGCGCTAACCGTCCCTAATTTAGCAGTGTAAAGCTAGAGGGAGGGCAGCTAGTCATCACCACCAAACTCTTGGGCTACTCTTTTACCAACGAATAGTGGGATTGACCGTCACATTATAACGCCCCCACGGCTGAAAGGGCGAACATGTTTGGTGGTATGGAGATTCGAACACGCGACCCTCAGATGACGAGTCGAGCCCGACTTTAAAGCTATCGAACTGTTAGTTTTAAGCAATAAAAAATTGTAACGCTAAACAAAGTAACGAATGTAGTTTTGACGATCAGAATTAATATTGCTAGCCACAAGTCGATGGACTTATGACCTATGGCTTTTAATGAAAAAAAACTAGTCTTTTTTTAATGATTTCTAATCTCAGGAACAAACAGACCTATTCTAATGTAATTTTAATATTCAAGTAGCAATACTTTCATTTATAATTGCTAGTACTTGACAAATAATTACAGGGCATCTAAAGGTGAGTAGTAGTCCTGGTATACTGAGGATGAGAATTTTTCTCTGATCTCAATTTATAGAAAGCCACAATATCAATTATGTTAGCACTAGCTTTACGATTACTATTCTATAGGAGCTATAGAATGAATAAAGACTATATTAAAAATAAGAAACGATATCCGTTCTTTTCAGAAGTAGAAAGATAGAGATTCCACTTTCTGGGATAACTTGAAATGAGGAAATGGTATACATAATTTATGTCAGTTAAGTGATTTTCAGGGAATATTCTTAGCTTTTGATTACATCAGACATTTGTCTAACTAGCTTGATATAAAGCTCTTGCTTATAATGATTACAATACATCAATTTGTTTGTTGAGTACTCTCGCTATTAGTTATATGTGTAATTGTAATCCAAATATATGTCACAAGGTTCGGCCAGATTAAAAGATTTAATTTGGTAATTAAAATCATATTAAAATAAAAATTCAAAATAATCCTTAAAATAGAAATACGTAATAACAGGTCTAGATGTATCAAACTCAAACTGGTAATGAAAGCAACATGAAGGAAGTAAAATATTCCTGACTTAGAAAAATAGATACAAACTATTTGTTTACTACATCCACTATAACCAATTCCTTATCTCACGCTGAGAACAGTGTTTAAGTTAGGTTTTCAAAAGGAAATATTAGAAGTACTTCAGTGATTTCTGATGTAAGGGATTAGAACAAAATAGGGACTATGTGAAACCACAAACATAAAAGTATGAAAAACAAAATGCTAAGAATAAAGAAAACAATATAAAAAAAAAGAAATTAACAAAATAATTTTGGAATTAAGATTCAATGTAAAAATACCAAAATTCGCCGATGAATACTATAAGTTGAAAATTAATTAAAACCGTATTAAAAATCATAATATGAATAATTAAAATATAAATAACTATAAAATAATGAAAACAGACACTCCTGAGGTAGTGATAAGATAATAGAGACGTTATGTACTTTTATGATAAGAAAAATTGCTGATGCTAGGGGTAACAACTGCTGTGGTGAACAAAATAAAAACTAAGTTATGTAAGAACGAAAGAATAATTACACAATTAATTTTAAGAAAGTAAAAAAAAATCAATAAGAAAGTAGCAAATTCGAAACATGGAAACTAGAATTCATTCACAGAATGGTTTTGAATGAAAGTTAGAAGTAGATAGCGAATTATAAGCTTTCATTTGAAGACAAAACAATGTTCTTAACAACGTTTATCATTCAAAATAATCATAAAAATCTAACCGTCGTTTATTACTTTTAAGCCCCCCAGTAGCACAGCGGTATGTTTGTGGGCTTACAACGCTAGAAACCGGGTTTCGATACCCGTGGTGGGCAGAGCACAGATAGCCCATTGTGTAGCTTTGTGCATAAATTCAAACAAACAAATATTACTTTTAAGTGCATTATTTCCTTATAATACGCCCCCAGTGCCACAGCGGGATGTCCGCAGATTTACAACGCTAGAAACAGGGTTTCGATACCTGTAGTAGACAGAGCACAGATAGTTCATTGTGTAGCTTTGTGCTTAGCTTTAAAATAACAAACAAACCTTATTATACTGAACATCTCAAAAAATCTAATATAAACTTTACCCATGGAACACTGGGAACTTCTTTCTCATCTAATATAAGACTACTTTTCACTTAATTCTAATAGAAAAGTTAAAGTTTAGTGTAATTTTAGGTTGGTTAGTTAAAGCTGTAACTGTTCGAAACTGCAGTTCTTAGTGTTTCATGTTCTAACTGACCATTAAGTATTTAATTATTTCTAACGAATCTCTAATATGTATGACATTTATACTACTATATGTCCTGTAAAGGCACAGCAAGGATTTACCTAAGAATTATATCAGAAGCACAAAGTTAGAGAATTTCTTAACATCAAGTATGAATTTCTTCTTCATCAACTGTACCTACTTTCAAGGATATCTCTAATTGTACACCTACAGCAAACAGAGAACCACATTTAGAGAGTTTGGGGCGTATTTTTCTCATACCTTTAAATTTTATTTTAGTTATTACGTTTTTGAATTTTATTTGTATGCAACAATATTGCTCTTTTATTTGAAAACAGCATTGTAAAAAACAACTAATGAAGTACTTTGGGCTATAATGTAGAAGTTACAGTCTGTGAAAAGCACATCTGATATGTACAGGAAGTTGGTCGAAAAGTACAACATATAAAAACTTACGTAAAATGGTATTGTCTATTTCCACAAATTGTGTTTATTTATAATCCGAGTCTTGGTCCCAAATCATATTATTTATAAAACAAAATAGTTCATAATATATTTTACGTAATCGCGGATAAGCTTAAATTTTCCATTGGTCACACATTTTAAAACAGGACAAGACAAACAGACATAACAGACCTAATCAATAAGCATAAAAAATGCTTGTAAAAAATTTCATCTAGTGATTATTCATATATTTATATTACAAGAAGTATATTACAAAAAATGAACATATACTATTTCTCTCGCCATGGTAATCCTCCAAAATACCATATTTAAGTACAGATTACAAGTTAACCTATTAAACGTCCGCATATTTTATTGAAATTTATAAATATAAATAAAAGTCCAATATTCAACACAAAAACGCAAATCGCAAAACACATATAAGAAACAGAAACATACACACCCATATATATTCTTAAAAGAAAGTGCAACACAAATCAAAGTTGCGTTCAGCAACATATTACATAGTTCACAACAGTTTCTGAATGCGAAAATTGTAACTGTATTCACTAAATATTTTAACTACGACGCCATCTAGGAGATTAGAGCATAAATCATCTGGAATTATTTTTGATTTTCTTGTATAGTTTGGAATATTTTCAGCATATTCTTATGAAATATTTATTTTCAATTTGTTTTAAAATCACTCACATCAGAAACTTTTATTTTCATTCCAGATGTCAAGTATTTGGAAGTTCCTTTTAGCAGCATTGAAAAAAATAGTGAGCCAACTAAAACTTCAATTCAAGAAGTTACGAAGGACAGCTTTTCAGCAACGACAATAAATGGGCAGAGCAAAAAACCTTTCGTATGACTTTTGAGCTATTTGATTTAATCAAAACTACATTTATGAGCTGTAAAATATTGTTATGTCAAAAATTATTATACCTATAAAAACATTATTAACACAGGATCTCTCCCTCACTCAAGGGCGAAGTAGTGTTTATGCAGCACAGTGCAACGAACAAGAAATTCTGACAATTGTTTGTTGGAGGTGTTGCACACGCCATTAGAAAGTCCAGGATCTGCTGTATCCAAACATGTATTTACTGGGTTTCGGAGTGATCGCACCACCTTATCAGCAACAATCACAACGTTCTTAAATAAAATTATGCGACCATTCTTTTCTTTTTGATGTTTTGTTCTTTATTTTCTGATCTGGCAGAAGGCTATTACTACTATCACTACCGTTGTTATCAGCACTAAATTTATTTTTGAGTTTCGCCATAGCATCTACTGTCCATCATGATTGCATCTACAGCGACTGCACGTATTGCAAGTCGAACATCTCAGAACTTTAGACGTGCAAGGAATAATGGTGATTGATACTGACATGCCAAAGATTAGCAAAGTTCCAGTCATGATCACTGTGGCTTGGAGCTATCTGTTGAAGATCTATTGGGATCTGATCTGAAAAACAGATGCAACGACGGGTGAAGAAGAATAAAGCTCACGTAGCGTTGGTTCACAATATGAAGTACAGTCATTAATTACGGGGTTTCTGCTGATCATGTAGCCAGCCATAGCTTGGTCAATTTTTTGCCCGATTTATAAACTTTAAAATGTAATCGTCATATCACACTGTATTCTACACTCTATACAAGTATAACTAAAATCAAAGAAATCGTGAGTTTTTTACGTCGGATCCCTGCCACCGAGACAACTCTGCTGGAGGGAGAAATCCTATATTAAAACAATGAAATCCATACTCTTTCAATGTTCGAACGAATTTCTGTATTCGATTGTATCTAACATTAATTTGTAAGTAAATATAACTACGTTTTAAAGATAAACCTTTGCAAAATATGATAGGTTGCATATTTTCGATCAATATTTCTTTCAATAGTCATTTTACCTCAAAATATGATTATATAAATCTTACTTAGACGTTTTAAATGCATGTTAAATGCATGATTCAATGTCAGTTATTTTACTCGTAACAGCAATTGCGCTAAACTTGTGTTTTATATATTTAAAATTTAACCGTTAAATGTTTTGAAAAAACACTTGGCTTTGACTATCAAATGGTTTTATTTCTATTTAGCAAAACTATATGCAAGAGACAGTGACTTAGAATAAATTCTCCAAGGGAAGTCTTGAAGGGACATTCTAAGACAGAAATTTTAAGTAAGTAATTAATCCATTGTAATTTAAAATGTCAAAGGTAATATATTTTTATAAAGATCAATGAAAATCTTAAACTCCTCATTAGTCGCATATTAAGTACATATAAGCTTTAAATATATTTATTCTACTAAAGAACCCATATTGAAATTGGAGTTTTTTATGTTAAAAAATAAAACCACCTATATATATCTATGGAAAACATTTTCTTCAAAACACTATCAGTTGTATTTCGAATAGAAGAAAATATGCCTTCATTGAAAAACAGAAAATACGGGATTGCTGTTGTTTGTTTATTTATTTATTCTTACTGATTTCATGTGTTTTAATTAATGCCAAAATATTGTCTCAATAATCAGTAAGTTTTCAAAAACTAACCGTATTTAATCTTACATTTCATTTCGAAAGGTAGGAAATCTATTGTCCACTTTATTCATTTTTCTGGTCGTGTAAATAACATATTATTCATGGTTACACTGATTATTTGTAAAATGTCAGAGAAAAAGTAAAATGGGTAAAAAATTAAACCAAATTTTTGTTTTCTTTTTGGACGATGTAACCTGTAAAAATTTGATCTTATTCTAAACATTTTCGATACCTTTAACATTCATCACTTGTTTCAGGTATAAGGCGCTCATAAATATTTGTGGCACAACTAATTGCTATATTTATATATAAAGAAGCGATAAAGGTTATTGGTATGTTTCATGTGAATAGATAAGGTAATAATATAGGATTTTTTTTGCCCTTCATTCTGATATTAAATGATAACCTCGAAAATGTCATATTGTTAACCAATTATCAAAAAATTCTTCTTTTTAGTAATAAAGTTACATTATACGTCAAATTATGTTATTTTTAGTTTTTCTTACACTGGAATATAATATATATTTTTAATAATCCTTGTTTCTTTGTTGTCAAGCAGAAAGATACACAATGTGATATTTGTGCTGTGCTCACCTTGGGTATCGAAACCCGATTTTTAGCATCTTAATGATTCTAATTGAAATTGAAATAGCAGAACTTGAAACATAACAGTGAGAAACCAAAACGTCTAAATACTACGATGTTACGACATTAATATGGAGCAAAACTGTTATTTTTCTAGTATCATGAGTTCCACACATAATTTATTTCGTCACTTTCGTCTAACCTTGGTATGTCTCTATACCTCTAAAATGTATATTGAAAAAGAAATATTCAGAGATAATAGACAAAGAAAAACAATTTATAACTTAATATGGCAGAGCATTTATACTGTAAAAATAGAATTATAGATAATGATATACATTGGTTACAGCAAAGGTTCCAAAAAAAGGTGGTCAGCGGGTCATATCATTACCCGAAAGCCTTACTCGCGGCTTACATTATGATCAGATATTGCAAAAGTAACCAAAACGACGTATTCCCCAGTATGCTCAGGCCCAGCCCTTGCCGATATGGTCATCATCTGAATTTCCTAGTGTGGAAAATAATTGAAAACTACTGCAACTTTAGTACGTATCACGATAGTTGAAGTTTTCTAATACGTTTCTAATCACTTACAGTATTCTCATTCTCTTGCAGATGTGTGAAGACATTTGGATCAGGAGTACCTAATAATTGGTGGAAGAATTCATGAATTATTGATAGGACGTCAAATCTTTCCCTTGAAAAATGATTTTAAGATTATGCTAAGTTTACAGTCTTATAAAGTGTTTACCTGTAAAATTAAGTTTACCTGTTTAATTAAGCGAATATTATTATATTAGGTGCATGTCATTATGTGTGCCTTGAAATTGCAACTGTATAAAGGTGTAAATGGAGCATACAATATTCAAATCCAAACATTCTTTTTATGGCATACACGCTATTTCTAAGACGGTTTACTTTAATTATTTTAGATTTTTATTCTCCATCAATATCATATCATAAAATATTTGTTGCAAGCAGTCTTGAGTTCTCTGTGTAAACACACCAAAACTTTTCTGATGTCACTGTAGCTGTTAAGTTGTAGTTCGTAAGTCATAACAAATATTCATGAGATATTCGCATATCTTGATAATGTAAACACGAATAGGAATGAAGAAATAAAGAAAGCAGACAAAGCCTTTTTATTTAAATTTTAAAGTGGGTATTAGGTTATGCTGTATAACAAGAGTGACACTATCAATATCTAATTACTCGGAAAATGTTCATAATAATTATATATATATAGGATTCTTTGTTCTTGTCTTGGCAACCATGTACGTATTTGTAGCTCAATAAAATCATTACATAAATGAAACTATGTTTGCCTTGTGTTTTCATATTTTATTTCTTTTATTAATTTTTTGCGGATACGTCATTATCTCCTCTTCTTAGCTTGTTTTAGCTTTTTATTCAAAGAAAACAATTTTTGAGTGGACAAATATTAAAGGGGAGTAACTTGTCAATTACAACCAAGATCGTTTTGAATTAGTTGGGTATTCATAATTTCCTGATCACGAAATATTGGATACTTTTTCTTCATTTCAGGTTTCTGTCTGTCGTTGTTGTTGATTTTTCAGAGCAAAGCTACACAATTGTTATCTGTGTTCTTCAACCGCAGGAAATTCAACCCCGAAGTTTAGCACCATTAGCTGTAAACTTACTGCTGACCTACCAGGCAATTTTTGTCTGTCAAACTGTAAATAAAACTGTAATTAAATATGGAAATTTTAAGAAACAAAATTATCTTCAATCTGGATGTAAGTAAACTCATATTGGTCACTAAATGAAAAATCACACTACCTAAGATACTATAATCTATTTAAATGAAACTTTTCTTGGCGTAAGGCCTGACATTGCCTGGTGGTTAAGGCACTTAACTCGCAATCTGCGGGTAGCGCGATCGAGCCCCATCACAGAACATGCTCGCCCTTGCGGCCGTATAGACCTTACAATGTTATTGTTAATCCTACTATTTGTTGGTAAGGCGTAGTCCAAAGTTGTGGATGAGCTGTGTTGATTAACTGCCTTCCCTCTAGTTCGTAAATTCGAAACTAGGGACAGCTAGCACAGATGACTCTCGATTAGAATTGCGCAAAATATAATATACAAACAAACAAATCATTAGCTTAACTAAAATCCAAATAACCTTGGTTAATGAAGAAATACATTGGAATGCTTGTTTACTGAATTATTTAGCTTTTTAATTATTGTGTATTTTAAGCTTTTTAAGATCGTCATATGTTATATGAAGGTATTTTATTAGTAGCTATTGGTTATTTACAAAAATGTAAGAAATTAAACCAATAAAACTTTAACATGGAAGTTACTTGAGGTGTAATGCAGCCTTCACTCTTGATGGTTGTTTTAGTCAGACGTAAACTAAACACATATGTTTGCCTATATCCTATATATGTTTGCATATCCTAAATAGTGAAAGTGTTTATATGATGCTTGAACTGAACTTTAGTTTTAAAAGCAAATATGTTATATTTATCATCAAACACTGTAATGTTTTTCTAAATAAAACTAACTTATTTAACAGTACGAAATAATGAAACTATTCATATAATTCCCAGTTTTTGCTATATCCTTCTACAGTATTTGTATTTTAAATAACTATTTGTTTTAACACGAAAACGTTTTAAAACTAAATAAAACATATTATTTAAACTCTATCCTGCTCACTATATTCTGTAATACGTAAATATATTTTACAATAGGTTGAACTGAATTTATTAATTACAAGAAAGTATCATTCAGAACTCTCAGATCGTTGAAGAATGGATTATGCAAGTTTTTTTTTGTTATTTTTTTCTAGTTTTATAAGCTAGTGTTTTGTTGTTGTTGTTGTTGTTTTTGTCAACTACAAAATACATGCAAGTCAATAAATCAAAATATCCAGAACTTCTCAGTCACAATATATTTTATGGCACATGGAATCAAATATGCTACTTATTCTATTCTGATATAAGATATGAAGGCAGAAGCTAGTGCGAATGAACCTCTATCAAAACTTTATTATAATCTTAAGAAGATTTTCCTTTACTACTTCTCCGATTCCCAGATAATGTCATAAAAAAAGTCTGTATGCGGTTTGGTGCAAGTTAACATAAGTGACAAACTAAGACAGCTGTTTCTATGAAACTCCTACAACAGCTGTTGATGACTTTGTTTAGAACATTAAATCTAAATAACCATTGTGTCAGCAGCAAGAAATGGGACTAACTTTTTTGATTGAAGTTCTTCCATCGGTAACAAAAACAACCCACAATTTTCATGGTAGGCAAATGTTTATTTTGGTTTTCTGGGTTAGAAATTGAAAGAAGGAATGCCTCATTGGTCTTTTTTATTACTTGATTGCTATTTATACATGTCTTCCATGAGAGAAATACCTGTTTTTGAGTTTATGAATTAATGTTTTTGCAGTTATTTTTATACAGATAAACCTAAATAAGATCAATCTGCTAGTTAAAAACGCTCAGTATTTTAGCTGACTGATGTAACCTAAATTACGATTAAATAAAGCTGAATTAGGTGGCACATTTTTTGGTATTCCTAGTACTACAATGATATTTTTGTGTGTGTATGGAGACCGGAAAAGCTATGTTTCACCTTTCAGAGTGTAGTTCATTCTATTCATTTTATATTACTTAGTATAAAGCTTTTGCTTGGGATTTTATAATGCCTATTTGTAAAGGTATACCGAAAAGAAAATGTATGCATGGTTCTAAATTATTATTTCATACACCAGATTATGTTTTCTTCATGTTCGACAAATAATTTATTTTGTAAAATTAAAGAGATATTGTCAATTGTTCATTGATATCATTAGTTGTTTTATGATATTCAGATCTTAATCTGAACTTTAGACTCTTAAAATTAGGATTCAATATGTTTGAAAAAGGAAAAGTAAGTACTCCCTGCTCTTTCCGAATTTGGTCCATATCTTTGAAAATTCAAAAGGTGTCAGTTGTTAGCTGTTCTACTTTTTAAATATTATTGTATATGAGAAACTAAATGTACATAAAAACTATGTTTAAGTTGTGGAATCAACTTGTAATTCATTTTTCTCTTTTGCTATATTTATTATTCTAATATTCTAATGACATTAGTGAAATAAAAATTACAGTTTGATGACAAAAGGTACATTACTAAATCTGTTCATATTTCGTTATTTTTCCATTAACTTTATAGAATTACTTTCATTCTTTATAAAACGTGTAACAAAGATGTGAAAATGTAGGCTTTCTTTGTAAACCACATCATCACTATTATATTTCTTTTCATGCAGTCGCAACTTTACAAAATTAATTTCATAATTTTCATTAATACAATGCTTTCTATTTTGGTAAAAATGTTCATAAGAACAAGTGAAAAACTAGTAACAAACAAAAATTAAGGTAATGTTAAATGGTTCTGTCCTTCTCTGGTAACAATGAAGGGGTTCATCTGATTTAAGAAAAAAAAATAGTTGGAATTCTTTAAAACATTCCTCTGCATTGCGCATGTTATTATGTTAAGTAAGTCTTAATTTAAGACCAACTTCTTTCATTTATATTAGTTTTTAAATAATTTTTGGAAATGCTTACAATATTTCACAACTTGTTTGTATATTTCTTTGTAGTTTAAGCACAAAGCTACACAATGGGCTATCTGTGCTCTGCCCACCACGGGTATCGAAACCCGGTTTCTAGCGTTATAAGTCCGCAGACATACCGCTGTGCCATTGGGGTGGTGGCTATTTCATAACTAGTGTGAATGCTTGTATTTTATTAGTGTTTCGAAAGTCCAACATTATTTGGAAACTATAATTGATTAGGAAGGTGGCACTTTTTATTTTACAAACTGTAATTTAGATATTAAGTTTAAGATTGATGTCTTTAACATAAAACTTATTGTTATTTTGCTAAGAACATGTCATACATTCCACTACATATCCTTATATACATGTCAACTGTCTTTTATTTCGAGAAATTTATATGAAAATGCAAAAATTTGTTTTCTTGTCAGAGTGAGAGGGATAAAATAGATACAAATAATTTGTTCAAGGCCATAATAACGATAGCTAAAGACGAAGTCCTGATATTTATGGTTATTTCAAAATAGTTTAAATTCCTTCATATTTATATAGTTTGTCATTTGCCTTTTTATAAGTTGAGTTATAACCTTAACATTTAGAAATATTTGAGCTTTATAAGAACAAGAAATGTGGATCAGGAAACGAAATCAAAACGTGGAACTATTCACGCCTCTACTTCTACTTCGAGAATCCAAAAAAAAAAAGCAATCAGTACTTTTGTGGATTTGGTCTCATTTGATAAGATAAGTGGAGAAACAAAACGACTAGTCGATAACATTAATGTTAAGCCAGTTGTATGTAAATTTGTTTATTTATTGTATTTTCATATATTTGACTTTGTAAATACCTGTCATATTCAGATATACCAACGTTATCAAATTGCATATTGTGTTCATTGTATACGCACTGTGTTGTCAACGTGGTTCACCTCTACTCTATTATTTATTTCAAAACAAACTGTAGGCACTAACTGCAATTAGATTGAGGCTGTTCTGCAGGCATAAGAAGGAATATATATTTGTTTAGATTTAACATGGAACAAAATATCACTTACTATAGACCCATTTTACACCATAACAAAAGCTTTGAAATTCTAAGCTCATAAAGGGCTCAGAATAGTTGAATGATAATGAAAAAGCTTGAACAAGCAGTTTAATGGCCATGAAAAAACTTATATTACTTGAATATTGAAATGATTTGAAAATAAATGGTAGAGTATTTCGCATACAAAGTAGAAATTGATTTAGTACGACATGCCTATCCTAAAAGATGTGTCGTTAATTCGGATAGATGAGTTATGGCAATAATAGATGTCAATTTTAAGAAATTAATTTGCATTTCTTACTGAGAAGTGTATATTATTGTAATAATGTATTCATTAACAACCTGTGGTAATCCTATACAGAACTGATTGACGTGCGTTGAAAACAAGGCAGTTTATGTTACTTAAGTTTAATTTTAATGATATTATAAACTCAAATGCAATATAAAAAGTTGATGTCACAGAGGAAACCAAAAATTATTTTTGTCGTTACCCTCAATATTAAAGATTACTGTGTCTTATTTTTGTTTTTTTTTCTAAAAGTCAGAATATTACTCACCAACCAATGGGATAACACAGTTGTTGAACTTGAAGTCGGAAAGTACATTAATTTATGAAAATCAGTAGAGCACATATTGTGTTATTTTTAGATAAATTT